CACCCAGCCAGTTTTTTACCCAGCAAAAAGTACGCCCATCCAAGCCACAAGCAGCCAGTTTCTCCAGAAGAATGCTGTGGGAAATGGTGTCCAAGGCTTCTCTGTTCCTAAATACCTTCTCTGTTCCTAAGAAAGAATTATAAAAAGTTGTGACTTCTCATACATCCATTCATTTATTATTGTTTTGTACTTGCATCCATGATCCATTTTTCCAATGTGAAGAATAGCTTTTTTCACTGAACTAACGATATTACACAATTTACTGTATTTTATCAGTTGTCTTAACTACGCCTCTAGTTAAGACATATTTTGAATCAAATTGTTACCCATATTTTGACTCAAAATATTCCACTTAGACAGGCAAATGGATGTTGTCTGGGCTTTTGGATTAATCTGCTCACATCCTATGACAAAATCTTAGGCATCAGTGACTGAGATTTCAGAGCATTTAGCTGCTAATGAAGGTTAGGAATCTTACTGCCTTACAACAGTCTTGAAAAGCTCAGTCTCCCCTACTTTGCATTTCCAAACATTGACCTATATATTCCGTTCTTTCACAAAGTCCAAACAAGCCTTCATGTTATTTGATTATGGTTTGTTTTACAGACTTTTCTCATCACCCAGCCCTTCAGTTAGAATTCATTTAGGCTCTGCTTTTTAAAATACTTGTGTGGTTATCAGGTGAAACTGATGATGTAGAGCATGAAAAGGATGTAAAGTTAGGAATTACCGAATACTTTCTACACAAGGTTAGTTAAGCACTGTAATAAATTGCATGAGAAAGTTGAAGAATCTCTTTCGTTAGAGGTTTTAAAGCACAAAGAGACAAATATCTGTCATGAAAAATAGGTAGTAAATGTGTAGAAAGTGAGTAAAGCTGATCCAGCATTGAGGACTACAGGCTCTCAAGATCCTACCAGGACCTGTTTTCTTTGAGTGTATTATTTTCTCTTTTTTTCTTGGCTCCTTTTGATCAACTTTTTATTCCATAGCTGCTTACTTGCAATGCCATTCTGTCTACACTCAAGACTTTCCTTTTTCTGTCATCTTCATCTCTATTATTTTTCTTTACTTCTGAAGGTAGACAAAAAAGAACATGTTGAACTCATTCAAGATCTGATTTGTACAATATCCCTGACACTATTTATTGACTAAATAATTGTCCTACAACTCAATGAAAATAAACCAATAATGTTTCACATAAATTTTCACTTCCAACTTGCAAATGCCTTAAGCAATTGAAGTTAGCAAACTTTAAATTTGTGTGGCACACATTGAATTGTGCCTTTTACCTAGTATTAAATAGCTCAACTTTTGAAATCTTGTTGAAAAAATAATGGCTTTTTGTAAATTGTGTTCTAAGTGTTTCAGTTAAATTATGTCTATCGGAAACAAATACTCCTCTGTTGCTGTCTGTGACTGTTATCATTATGAAACAATCTGCCATTCTTTCTGTGTCATTATTTGCATTGCACTGAATGAGTAATCTCATTAAAATCACGAGGACTACTTCGATTCTGCTTGGAAAGAGTAAGGGCAGGGGTCTATGAATAAGGGCAGGGGACTCTTAGTTTATTGGCTCTGTATGCTGGTTTATTGTTTGCTATTTCTGTGCTTCTATGTGAGCATTCACTATTATGGCTAGTCATGTGAAGGAAGTCAGATTACTTGGGTGACACAGTGCTGCACAATGGAAATCAGGGCTGCATAGCCTACTCCTTTAATCAAAGGCATCTGTGAGCATCCAGGACACTCAGCTATGGACAACAGGCCTTAATTTATTCCATTAAAACACAAACAGATATGATCCTGTAAGGGACCAGCATTCATACATTTGCGCCTGAGTGGATGCAGGTCAGTACTTTGCAGGGCCAGGCCAATGGAGAAAAGATGCATTATCGTCTGCAAATGATAGGCCAGGAAGTCTTCCTATGGTTCATGCCAAGATTACAAATTAGGGTTAATGAAATGCAAGTATCATGTTCTAACTAATGTTCAAAGTTGCAGTTAGCTCAGACTTGATATATCTGTTTTCCAAATAGAATGGGGTCAAACAAAGTAGTCTATTGAAACATGCGTAATTTGTTTTAAAATGTTTTAAGATCATGAACAATGTGTCAAGGAGAAGCTACACTCAGTATTGCTATCACTAGCTAAGAAACCCAGTAGAGCTGCAGCAACTGTAATGCTTTTGGTGCAAATATTTATCTAAGGCATAGTTAAATATTTATCCAGAAAGTATCAGTCTATATTTCTTTAGTCAAGCTCTTCTGGTTTTCCCACTGAAGTGAATCAAATATGTATTCTACTCTGGTGTGGATGCATATAGAGAAAGTTCAGTTGTGCTCTTATAGGAGGTGTTAAAAGGATCATGAAAAGTGGCTGGAAAATAATTCAAAGTGTATTATTTTTCTTTTTTTTAATCCCTTTCTGTGTTTATATGAATCGCAGAGGCTGGCAAATATTAACTGTAGAGTTCTTACCTTGACAGATGCTGGCACATACTAGTACAGTATGGACTTATTATTCTCTAAGTGATGCGGTGGGATTGAATAGCACCTCACCATACGCAGAGGTTCATTTTAAGCCAGGAGGAACAGTTTAGTGGTCTCAAGTTGTGATTGAAATAGCTAGACTTTCTGGAATAACAGACCTGACTTCTCCCAGGGCTGACTGTCCCTCATCATTTTTAAAGCACTATAGGTAAACTGAATACCATGCTGTTTACTGTAGCTACCTGACATTAAGTCTCCATGTGGACAGGAACGCCGTAGCACTTTTCATACAAAATTTGGGAGCTTACTTTGGGAAAATAAGATCTCTATTTTCTGCCTGTTGTTTTACAGTGCTATAATCTACTGTATTCCTAGTCTGTGTTTCAGAGGTGCTATGTTATGTATGTAACTGTAGATTAGTAATCATGGAGCCTTGACCTAAAAGGACTTATGTAAATAATTCTAAGTTTTCATTGTGGAACTTTGCATGAAGGATTTGCAAACACTGAGTAAGAGAAAAGTCAGCATAATTTTGGCCATTTATTAGCATGGAAAGCAGACATGGGAGTCATGGCCTTGCTACAGTTGACTAGCTAGTCAGCCTCGTGCCCCAATACAGATTTGGTCTGCCTTCTTATTGAAAACTCCCATCTCTCAACTCGTCTGATAAAGCCTCAGGTGTTCTTTGTCTTTAGTACACCTTCACATCTTAAAAGTTGTAATATTTAATGGCCTTTGCTTTCATTGTGGCCTCTTCCGAGCCACATGATAATAATTTTATTAATATTTCTTTTAAATCAGCCATTCTTTTAGGAGCAGCTCTAAGTATCGCATGCAATATGCAAGGACAGCTGCTGTGTTTTTTTCCTCAGCTGTGACAACTTCTGATAGTGAGACGTATCAATAAATTGTTATTTAACAAGTGTCTTCAGTGGCTAACTTTCTGGCTTAAAGTCTAATGAAGTGCAATGAAGGCAAACAACAAGATGCTGTGCATAGCTCATATTTTGTTTTCTGAGTTTTCAAGTTTTTAAATGGCAGAAGATGCACAGTGGGGTCTTTGGAATCAAGAGGATCCCAATAAGACAGTGCCCAAGCACATAGGAGATTAGTACAGAAAGAACCATCTTTACCTACACAAAAACAATCGGGAGCACAGTATTCATTTCCATGAGATTGACTTCTTTGTAGTAATAACATCTAAGAAAGCACAGGGTGAATATCTCATTCCAGACAGGTATGGATTGTAACCAAGGGAAATACAGTGGAAGGCACAATGAATGCAAATTAAAAAAACTGAATCAATTTTTGGGCAAGAGGCTGAGAGATGGTATCTTAGCTATGCTATAGTTTAATATGCACCTGTGCTTTCATCTTTCCTTAAGCCACCGTGGGACCACAGGTAGCCATCAACAAAGCAGCCACGTGGATGAGGAAAAGACAGGCAAAGTCAACTGACAGTGTGACAAACTGTTTAACCTGCATAATCTGGGGCAGGGGGTGGAGAGGGGAGAGAGAGAAGGACCAACAGACCTTATGGAACAGTTCATTGATCTGCTTCCCCTTATTTTAAACATTAGCTTTCTAAAGCAAACATGCCATAGGGAAAAGCATGCTCTGTTTAGACTGACATAAGGTAAAAAGATGATCTAGTGTCGTCTGGAGTGTGGCCAATTTCATAACAGACTGAGAAATGTTCTCCGTCTTTTCTGGTAGGGGATTTTATTTAAAACCACAATGTCATGCAGTGTGGCATTATGTAATTGCCTAACAAAAGCTATCAGATATGGGCACTCTGTTGTTATTTTTATATACCCGTATCTACCACTAAGTTACACAATCAGTATAAACATATGTATGACACTGGTCTTTTTCTTTCTTCCCGCCTCCCCCCCACCCCGCCATGTACAACTGCCCTAATAGGGATTATACGTGTGCACTGTCAGCTGCTAATTTGGACTTGGGGGAGAAGCTCACAGGATCATTGCAATGACAAAGAGTCATTCTCAAACCACAGCAGAACTGCCTCTGCAACATCCTCTTATTTCATTATTCTGATCTTGGCTCTCACTTCTGTTTTTTCAGGTTTTGTGCTATATTTCCAAGGTTGCACTAAATGTGTTTGTGAAGGAGTTCTCTTATACTTTGCATTTAGCTATGATTGTGACAGACGCACAGTGTATGTTAAGAACCACGAAGTAATGCCAATGAGTTCAATAACGGGATTCTAAAGTTTTACACCAATCTGGGTTTAATCACATAACTCAAAAAATTTAACACGTAGCCTTACCACAGGAATCCACTTGAGAAACTATTCAGGTTTTTGCCTTTAAGTGGAAAGAAAGTGAAGCTAATTCAAACCTGTCCATTTCAGATCTTGAGGTTATTGCAAAGGAAGGCTGCCATCTTCCTGTCCATGTAAATCAACTTTATCTTCTTGAAGAGCTGCTTATTCAATCAAGTCCAGAATGAGTCTGTGGCACACCTGGAACAAGAAACCAATCCCTGACTACATTGGCAGGATTGCCACCTACCTTAAGGAATACAGCTCAGAGATTATGTGGGCTCTGTGGACAAGTCAAAGGATACTTTCGGACCAGTGAGGGATATATGAGAGAACAGCACCAGATCCGAGTGCCAAACAGAGAGTGTTTTAACTACCATAGCAAATATTCCTATGAAGTTTTTTGGTAGTGGGTGTTTTTATGCTACAAGCGTAAGTACTGAGGTGTCATTAGTTGAGACAAGCAATGAATCTTTCTGAGATTTCAAGTCAGAAGGAGATTGCAGTGTTAAGGCATTAGGCTCTGTTCCAGGAAGTTTCTTCTACTGGGAGATAGCTCCGCCTTGGAAGCAGGAGATCTTTGTCCACAGAGAATGGCCTCTTGTAGGGGAAAAGAGTGGTGCCACATTCAAAGTTAGGGGAGTCTTCTCAAAAACAACAAGCACTGGGCCCACAGAATGATTCCACCACTAGCAGCATGCTCCTGGAGATTGCCTGCGGCAGTCTGCAGCCTTCCCCCCTTCAGGATGCAGAGAGACCCTCACTCCTCAAAAAGGCTGTGAGTGCCCATCATGAATGAGAACACCTACCTCATAAGAAGACGGGGTGTAAGTTATGGTATTTGAAATCTGTCATGCCTTGCATGAAAAGGAAACTCCTGGAACTGAAGAGACTTTTCTGTCCAGAGGCAAAAATATCCAATCCATTTTCCTCTAGCTATATAATTAATGACTGATCAAGGCTGAGTGCGCCATATGCTGTAAAAAAAAAAAATGCTGACTGAACGTGTTGGTTCAGGTTTCAGCCTGGGCAGCAAGAAAGAATTGTGGAGTCATTTCCACTCTCCTCTGCTTTATATACAGAGGGACACGGAAAGTGGTGACCTAGTTTCAAAGAACAGTGTTATCTCAAATGACTCCTGCCTTATCTATACAAGACATGAATGCATCAGAAGGAAAAGACACTTGGACAAGCATTCACAGAAGAGCAAGCTGTGTCACACATCTGAGTAAATGAACAAGCAGAGAAATCAGCGAGACAAAAGTGCATTACAAGTAATGTGGTTCAGCTTCCCAGGGTAAGAAAATTTTCTTCCCACAGCAGTCCAGACACCTTCAGTTTTAGAAAGTCAAGATTTAGAGAGGACTGACTAGATGCCTCAGTAAAGCTCGCAAGGATGAGGAAGAATGAAATACATACTTTTACGTAATGAGGAAGGTTAAAGTCTGCTAGGTAGGCAGTAATAAAGAAGCAGAAGCACCGCTGCCAGGCACTTCGCTAAAGACAATTCATAAAACCAGGATTTACTTTAATAAAATGTGAAGAAGGAAGAACTTTGCTTAGGCGCAAAAACTTCCAGGACAAAATCAGTCAGGGACAAAAAATGGCAACACACTGATCACATTCCCAGCTTCAGTCTCAATTGTATCATAAACCCATTTCCTATTGCAGCGACATTCTGGTCCACATTTGTTTGAATTGCATTTGGGGCAAGGATAGAAGCAACCCAGGCAGTTCTTTTCCAGGCAATCACACAAATCGATGTTATTACAAAGCAGCCTGCCATGTTTGTCATACTTCTTTGTAATTCTGCAAAAGAGAAGAAAAAGTGATTCTTAGAGGACGCTTCAATATGCTGGAAGACTAAACCAAATAAATGTGGAAAACATCTGTCCAGGAACAAATATTTCCTCTTGAACAACCTCACAGCATAACGAAATACCAGCATTTTATCCTAATTATAACAGCCACTGTTATTAAAAATGAAAGTGTGCCAAAGAAGTAAATCAAAGTTCTCTTAAGTCACACAGAAAAAGCTTGTTTTCCCAGCACAGCTTTCATGTGTAGTAAGAAATATTTCTGCAAAATAGTAATGCTTTTATTAATTTCATTTATATTCAGTAAACAGCATATCAGCCATTTTTTAAAGTAAAATATGTAATAAATTAGCACATCTTACTTGGGCTTATAAAAAAAATCTTGTTTTGTCTGTGACATGCGCGCTTTCTTTTTCTGCTCTCTAGTTTCAGGATTGAAGTCAGCTACCTGTGGTCCTGGATTTTGAAAGGCTAAGTATTTTAATTGTTTCTCGAGTTGTTGCTATAAATAAACAACATAAAGTTTATAATTAGTACAATTGGAACAAATATTTATTTGCTGCCAAATGTCCTCACTGGCTTTCAAATGACATTAAAATTAATATTCTTGATAACTTAACACAGGTAGGAAAATGAAGCAAAACTCAACCTAAATTAAGATCACATCATTTTAAATGTTTGCTTGTCTGCTAATTGAGGACTGACTGTGCATCCTGACAGGAGAGAAAACAACCATGACTCCGGTACAGTGTCATGGAGTTTGAAAGTTATCTTGTGGGAGGCAGAATCATGTATTTTTTTCTTCAACTTTATCCATAATGTAAAAACAAGTACTATGATTATAAGCATGTCAGCTGTATTTGCCCTTATCTACACTGTTCCCTCAGATGCCTAGATGGGTTCCTTGTCCAAGGAAACCTCAGATGGGTTCTTTGTTCAAACAATATAGGGGCAAGAGAAATGTCTGGAGGAGCAACTAGTGCAGGAAGGAAGCATTTGCACAAGTAAGGAGTATGAAAAAAGCACAGACAAAAATAAAGAAGCTAAACTGAGCACAGTTTTTAAGAAAGAGGAGGGAGCATTTTCTTGCCTATTTTATGGAATTCATGTTTGCAATTAGCTAAAACTGCTGAATAGTTTTGGAGGTTAAAACATCAGCTCTGCATATTGCCATTCCACATACCCCATGTACGTTGACAGTCATGTCTAAAGTCATTGCAAACAAACATGGGTATTGTGTCAAACAATTTCTCTTTGGACAATGACTGTGGACATTGAACATACACTTGTCATTCATTATGCAAAGGCACAAATGTCTACACAAAATTATCTTTTCTCCTGTTAGGTAAATGGAGCTGATTCGCCACCCCTCAGCTTTCCTGGAGGGTGTCATCCCTTTCAGAGTCCACAGTGATTTTTCACAAACAAGTGAGTGCCTTCAGTGCTTCTCATGGGGAAAGCAGTGGCAGTTCAGTGCGATCTGCTGATACAGTGATTTAGAAATATCTGTGCGCTTGAGTGCACTTATTTACAAGGCAATAGACGCTGTGAATCTTCAGTAGCATCCTCCTGAAAACCTATAAGGCAATCTCATGCATCTGTGTTATTCAGACATTTCTGCTTTTGCATCTGGGGTAGTGCAGAAAATAAGCTTCAGCATCATAATTGTCCATGATCATAAATTACGCAATTTCAAGTTGGAAACAAATAAGCTATGGAGATCGTCCTCCCTCTAAGAGTACTGTCCTCCACTTACTATTTCATTTGAGCTCAGAAGTGCTCTTAGCCCTCTAAATCACTGCACTGCAAACTTGACTCATTTCACTGTTGTTATTTCTGATATTTCCCTATTGACTCCAGCTTTTTATTTCTGTAATTATGGAAGAAATTGAAGGCAATGGTAAGTATCTTGATAATAAAATAGTACTGGAGAAGTCATACCAGTTGTTTTTGTGTTATTGAGCAGTCCTTAGCAGGAGAGACATTTCCTTCTGCAGATGTTTCCTGGGCAGAATTGCTTTTCTTGCAGTTTTCTTCCGCGTGATCACTCATTTGACCACTCTTGTGAAATACATACATACATATGTGTTAGACATATAAAGAAGTGTGAGAACCACAGACTTTTAAGTGAAGATTTTAAGGTAAGCAGGTGATATCCATACCAGGTTTTTATGTATTCTTCAACAACAGCAAATGCAGAACAAAATGTGGCTTAGTATCATCCTCGATTTTAAAACTGTATTAAAATAATATAACTTAACATAAACAAAAGCTGTATCACCAAAGCCACTCTATTATTCATTAGGCAAACCTCGGAAAATCTTTAGTGTTTAAATAACACAGAAGTTGAAAGAAATGCTGTCATTTCTGAATCTGACACCGCTTCACGGCATTGTCGCCTTTCACGTGAAGGTGAGAAGCAGTATTCTCACAGAACACACCAAAAGCAGTCGGCGGTGTGCAGTGGAAATGGAGACAACAGCACGCAGGAGCAGGCATTTCGCTTCCCAGCAGGTGACACTGTTGTCCTAGCTGCGGCTCTTTTTGCAAGGTTCCAGAAAAGCGCGGCTGGGGTGGAGTGGGGGGAGCAGGAGGGGCCTGGGCATATTCTCTGACATCTCTGACGTTATTCACAGAGACCCAAAGCGTGTGTCAGAGCTGTGACCATAGCAACTAGCCTATTCCCTGCAGATTCACAATTTTCTTCCTGAAGACTTCAACCAATGGACTAAAAGTAAAGTTTTGAATCTCAGTCCTTAGCTTTGCAAAAGATTCTCTGTATAAATGGCATGTGTAACTTTTAGGTTCAATAGAAAAGAAGTGCATGACTCGCTCTGCTAACGAAGCACTCAGGGAGGACGATGGGTCTGTCCTACAAATGCCATCCATCACCCCTCCCCCATCACACAGTAATGGTGGTTGCAACTGTTCAGGACGGATGTTAGCTACTTCTTCTTACCCACCTTTTGAAGCTACTCAATTAAAACTTTTCATGCAATATATGCAGTCCCAGTGCCTCAGACTTTAACCCCAAACACCACCAGAAATATTGAAGCTTTTCTGGAGCTCTTCCAGCCCTTCCCCAGGTGCTGCCCACTCTCCCATTGCCTCTGAAAGGTAGTGCAGTGGTCTCTGCCAGGTTACCCTGCACTTTAGGATTGTTCCCCAAACCCTGTCCCAGAGAAGATCTTCATTTCACCACTGCCAAGGGGCCAGCACCTCTCTGAGAGAAGCAGGAGAGGAGTCCAGGCCTTCAGTTCCCCCTGTTGCAGCCCCTCCCTGCCGGGTGACAGTCCAAGTGGGAGTAGCAATGAGAAGGAAGAGATCTTGTATTAACAGGAGGGGACTCATTTTTGAGAGGTGAAAAGAATAGCCTTCAGCCTATTTTGGAGAGGGTTTCCCTTTTTCCTCTTCAGTGCCCTGAAGAATGACTGAGATTGTGACACTGTTCACAACGGGATGCTCTGCAGCAACAGTTTCAGCCCTGGGACTTGAGCATCATTTTAGGATTAGAAAAGGAAAGCTACTACCAGGCAATTAATATTTGCTGTATGGGGGAGCCTGCTTTCCTACTGGAAATTTGCTAGGGACCCACAAATAAAACAAGAATGAAGGCCACTTCTCCAGAGAAAGTGAGTATTGCTCTTCATCTGCACTCAGGCTGGAGTCCCAATAAGGATTTGCTTCCTACATCTCCTCTTGTATCCAACCATGCATCCAGTATTGTTAAAGCATTTTGTGAGTATGCATGACCATCATCTGTGCCTGTTTTATTACAGTGTGCAGGGTTCAGGGGCAGAACAGCCATCAGCAGCTACCAGTGTAGCAGAATTCCCGTGTGGCCTCTGGTGGTGTAAATATTTGACTCCTTTGGAAACTAGGTCCTAGTAGTTATCTGGAGCCAAACACCCAAAAACAGAAGCCACTTCTTAAATACTGGCAGAAAAGGAACAAGCATCTTGTTCCAAACATGTTTCAAATGCCCTTGCATCTCAGTGAAAACAGCCTGCACAGAAAATGTAGCACATTTCTGTCTCCATATATATTGTAAAGATAAACTCTTAAATTTTAATCTCCAGGAAAGATACTCAAAAGTGAGGCAGAGTGTGACTAGGCAACTCTGCAAGATGCAGAAACTGGTGAGACTCACAAAACTGATTATCCTCCACAGCATGTTCTGAAGGGGGATAGGGGAACAAGGGAGACTGTGAGACTCAGACATCCACTCTCAAGTCTGTAGAACCTAATTACCCAAAGGAAAGTATTCTTGGTCCTGCAGCAGAGTTTCTTCATCTACTGGTTTTGGTCTGGCTGTAGTGATAATCCAGGGGTGATGCACTGAACCTCCCACAAAAATTTCAATTCTGAGGACAACCATCAATTGCACTCTTCCTCCACCAAAACCTGTGTTCTCCCCGCCTTCTGAATACAGCAAGTACTTCCTGGAGGTGATCATCCACATCTCAACATCCCATTGGGCCCGTAGCATATGGCTGAGAACTGGCAATTTCAGACCCTTGACACAGCTGACAAGGCTAGACGCAGATTAGGGGAGGAAGAAAATCAGAGGCTGTGTTATATTAAAAGAGACTTGGTCTTATCCAAGACACAGATGTTTCTGCTCAGAAAACAGTTTCAGAAAATGTTGGGATTTGGAAGGAACTGCATTTGTTTATGGCTTTCATAAGAGAAATATTTTCCTGTATCTGCTCTTTCAAGAATTTAATATTCCTATTTATGATCCTTGTAGAGCACTGCTAAATATTTCAGCTGGTGTGAAATGTGGTGACCAGCGTTCCAGACACTTCAGGCTGCTTGACCTCAGGAGCCTAAAGCTAGTATCTCTGCATGGCTTGTCAGAGCAAACGCACATTGTTTTCAAGGTCTATTTGTTCATGCCATTGGAGACTTTCTGGTTGAGACCTGTCAGCATGTTCATCACCTTCACCAGGGCAAGACAAGATGCTGTCCCCATGGCTTTAATCCCCCTGTGCCCACATGGATTAGACTGCCCCAATGCAATAGTCCCATCTTCCTCATAGCCTAGTTCTGCAGAGATGTCTGCGGGCTCAGAAACCAGCAGTCAGGTTTGTGGCACATTCAAATATGCATCTTGAAATCTCTATAGGACATCCGGTGCCAGCCAAATTAAGAATGAGAATAAAATAATCTTCCTCAGGATCAACTATGGACTGAGCTGTAAAGATGTGGGAAGGCCACTTACCAACTACTCCATGCCTTCTCTCATAGCCCCAAACGTGTGTGTGTGCGTGCGTGCGTGTGTTCAGAAGATGGCCTTGAAGCCAGATGGGAAACACAGACCAGATGAAGAAATAGGTCTTGTCTCTCGTAACTCATCTGGTTTCTCGGAAAACTGATACACATGGTCACAAAGCAATGGCCCATTCTGTGAGAGGAGTCTGGAGGAGCAAATCCCACCCGCTCCCAGTAAAATAAAACAAATCCTCATGAGTTTTCCTCCCCAAACCCAGAGCCTTTCTGCTGTATCTGGAAGTGAGGGATCCTTTAGCTGAACTCTAAGAGATAATTACAAAATCATGTGCATATTCTGGTTGTCATGCAATAGGCAGAAGAGATCTGCCAGACTTACCTTTGAAAACCTGCAGTTCTGAAGGGATTAATTCAGTTCAGAGCAGACAGCAAGAGAGGAAGGAGGTTCTCCAGAATTTTAAATTGAACTTACCAAAGGAAGAGGCTGGCACAGTGTAGATTTACTGCTGCACAATTCCTCTGATAGTGGAAGTATGACATCAGCCCCAGAGTGACTGAAACAGAAGACAAATAATCAAAATAGTGCTCCCCAGAGAAGCAGGCTGAAGACAGTGCCAGGTAACTGTCTTAAAGGACCTCACACTTTCTGTCTCATTAATTATGGTTTTTAAATAGTACTTAGCACGAAGAGTGGAACTAGAGAAATTATATAAACTGGGATCAGAGTCCTCATTTATTACTTGCATCCGTGGTATGTTCACAGAGCAAATGTATTTCCTAGAGCTTTTTTTTTTTTAAAGGTAAATAAACAAAAAAACTGTAATAAGTGTTTTACAAAAATGGAGGTTTTTAGGACATGGATGTAGTAAAGGAATATTTTACCACTTTAGAGAAAACGTTCTGGATTCTGTTCACCATCTCCAACAGCCAAAAGTCATCAAACAAATATGCTCTTCAACAGCTAAAGCAACAATGCAACCTCATGGTTCAGCTTGCTGCCTTTCAGGATTGTTTGTTGCACTAGTGGAAACAACTCAGACGACTCCTGATACTTCCAGGTACCAATTTCCACCATGCTGCAATCACTTACAGCTTTCATTACTCTTCCCTAGAACACAGCTAAATCCTAATAAACATCCAAAACTGTCAAGTTCTATAAATTCTCCAGTTGTGCTTACACAAATAGTCCAGCGTGTCTTTTTATCTTCATCAGCTGTATCCATCCATTCTCTGAGGTATTTCACAATCCAGTCTGAGGGCAAGTAAATTTATTATTTAGCATACTATATTCTTTCCCTGCAAACACTTTTAAAACCAAAAGCTGATGTTACGTTCTAGCAGCAGACCTTAGCTAGGTGATTTAAATGCTCCTACACATACCTTCATTTTGTTCCACAGACTGTTTTCCTTGTCATGAAAAATAAAACAGCAATCTCTCAAGGGGAAAAAACCTCACAACCTCCAAGGTACTCCTACAACAGCAAGCCACAAACAAAAACTTACAACCTGTTTTATTCTCCTATATTTTTTTCCAATGTTCTTCTGATTTCTCCATATTCTACATAATGGAGAAAACAGGAATTATTAACTCTGTAAACACAAAATTTATAATTAAACCACCTCATGCTTAATATCTCCTTTTCTTCCATTTTGCTAATACTTATACACGTGTATCTGACCTTTTTCTGAATTGTTTGTGCATGAGTTATGAGATTTGTTTATCATGGCATACGTGATAACGTGCAGCCTATGATCTACTCAGAATAGTTTTTACTGAGTGGGTGTTAGGCTACAAGTAAGTGAGGGTGTACATGTAGATC